ATTGGTTGTGTCCGAGGAGTAGGCAAAATTAGCCGAACCTCGTAAATTCTGGTGTTCCCTTTATTGTTGCTTTATTGTCTTATTTATTATTTGGTGGCTGTCATAATTTTTGGTATAGTAGTTGTGACTTATTCACACTCTATACATTTGGCTTCCGCAACACGTAACCTAGAGTGTATTTTGCTATATCACTTCCAGTAATACCATTAATAAATTTTGAGATGGATTATTCAACAGAATAAAAGTTTAATAGATTAACACGACTTCATAGATATAACTTGGTAAAATTTGTGGTAAAAGATTAGCTCAATTTCAATCAAATTGAGTTCAATGCAGAAACGATATTATCCAGGCTTGTCAGATGGATAATATGTTGAGTTGCAAATTTCATTAAAATCAATATGTATCATTTAAGTGCTAATTTTTATGAATCTTATTCGTTAATAGTATGTGAATAATAATTTGATGGATATCCATAGCTTTTAGGAGTTTAGATGTACAGACTTTGGATGAAGTGTTGACGACAAAGTTAGAACTCCTAGCCTCTAACATCATCTCTTCTATATAATCAGCTTAGGCCTGTAGTCATGCTATTAATCAATTACTGGTGCACTTTTTCTTCTATTTTGTCTATGTGTGGGAATGACACATCTATCTATGTGTTCACAAATGTTCTAAGAGAGACAAAGTGGTCGCCGAAAACCTTCTCTAAATATTTTGGATCCCTGATCTTGAATGACCGATGTATATTTTCATAAAAGGTTGTCTGGCTAGCAGGATGGTATGTGGCAGTAGTGAAGTTATACAATGCCCAGAATGCACTGGTAGTTTAAGATATAACATACTCTCCTTCATGAGGCAACTTTTGTAATGTTTGGGGTGCCATGGAAGTTGAAGACTGAAATGCGTAACAGTTTCTCTTGCATATCTCATGCTGTGTTGTCTCGCTGCAGAGATGGTTGAAGATGTGGACCTTTTGGTCAGAAGGGCAGAGAGATGCTTAGAAGCTGGGGCAGACATGATAATGATCAACGCTGATGATTTATGCAGGCAGGCTGATTCGCTACGGTCAGACATGGTTGCAAAGATTGTGGGTCGTCTTGGACTTGAGAAAACTATGTTTGAGGCATCAAGTCCTAAAATCTCTGAGTGGTTTATCAAACGTTATGGTCCAAAGGTACTAAGCTTCTCCAAGCAAATCTTTCTCTAAAAACTAGATTACCAAATGTGACGGTTCAAATATTTTAAATTGCTGGTCTTTTCAGGTTAATCTTTTCGTGGATCACTCACAAGTGATGGATCTGGAATGCCTCAGAGGACGCAACCTGGGTCAAAACCACTCATCCCTACTTGGCAGGTCATATTTTCTGCTCTGATCTTGTCGCATCCATAGAGAAAAACGCGCATATTGTGGCACCCATTAACGTAATGCGTTGGTGGTCATCTGTTGAGGTCATGTATAAATGAAAAAAGAATGTATTTCATGTATGTACTGTAATGATTTTGGAGACTCTTCTCTTTGCATGAAGTTCAGCTGCTTGTAAAGATACTCTTTTATGTTCTAATGCCTAATGGACTGAAAGTTAACAAATCTTGAAAGATTGAGGGCCCGCGCTTTTTAGATTATACTGTACACCACTCCACCTGAGTATTTGCCTGTTAATGGAGGGTGTTTGTAGTCCTTTTGATGGAGGTCTTAAAGCGTAGCAGTAATAATGGCTATCTGATTTCCTTTAACAGTTTGACACCCTTTATTCATGGTGGGGTGTCCAAGATAGAAATTGGAATTTATGTCTCGTCTTTGTTTGTTTCATGTTGCCAACTATTTAATGAGTTGGAATCTAGGTTCAGCATGTGCTTAGGCTATTATCTAGGCTAATATTTCACATAAATACAGCTCACACATCTCTGACTTGCAACATAATAGCCTAGATAACACTTTGCAATTCTATAGCCCAAAAATAATAGGCTAATTTTCGAAAGACAGTTTATTTCACATAATCAACTACGGTTATTGCTCCCTTTTTATACAACCAGTTGTTTTCATACACTATTATGTGCAATTGCTGGAGCAATCCAACAGGATAAAATAAAAATAAAAACTTGGTAAATGAATTGTAGAATCCTTCCAACGCGTACAAATCTTTTTTATACAGCACATACACGAAAAAGAGGAAGAAAAAGAAGTGTCAAACTTCCGTAGAGGCCTCTTACACACTAAAAATGTATATACATCCTTATAAACTGAAAAAATATATAATTATACAACATTATACACAAATATACACAATTATACAAAACTGTATAACTTGTGTATAAGAGGTGTTTGTATATTCATATACACATTTATACACAATTATACAGTGTTTATACAAACTACTACATAGTTATGATTTTTATCCAAGCCTCGAGTTGTAGTAGAAGGTATTGGATGATTCAACTCGTCTATAGGTTAGCAATTTTGCGCCAACAATTCGGAATTCAATTCACAGATACGATACACCCAATTTCAAATTCGAGACTTCAAGGAGGACAACACACATATCACGGGAATCAATAACTTGCGATGAGCCAAGAAGGTCAACAAGCTTAAGAACAAGCAAGTCTGGAGCTTTCTGCTTCATCGTGTTGAAGATTGATTTAGCTTCCGATCTTTTCTCCTCAAAGCTCGACCAAACATTGGAAATTAAGGTTTCAAACTGCATAGAGTCAGACCCAATTTCAAAAATCTTCAATATTCTTCTGCTAGCCATCATGGACGACGGAGTAGGAGCCCGAGCCTTCTTCGAGCCATTGATGGCAGAACTGCGTAGGGGGTAGGGGAGGGGGAATAGCGGGGGCTAGATTAAGAGAGGATGGGGATCTATGTGGGTTGGAAAGAAAGAAGCGAGAGGCGGTGAGAGAGAATTTGGTGTGCTGGGAATGAAGAAAGAAGAAAATAATAAAAACCCTAAAAGTATGTCTTTAATAATGAGCTAAAGGCTGAAAAGTTTCTTTCAAATTATGTATAACATGGGCTAAATAGGGTAAAAGCTTCAAATCTGAGCTATTTTCAGTTGGACTGTTAGGCCAAATGACAATTCAAATCTAATTACCACGTCCTGCCCGTGGATTGTATAAGCCAAACAGTTCAGAGGTAGATATCAGAATGCAAGAAAAAAACTCTTTTTTTGCCCTTTCTATTGTCTAATACAAATTAATCCCTGTTGAATAGCGGAGGGTACAACATCCATTTATTTTAACCCAAGGCAATGGTGCTTACTGTAACGCTTTGTTGACTTGGGAAACGAACTTTATCATATCTTAACAAAAAAAAATACTATCAATTCTTTAACGAAATCAGAGAGAGAAATTTCAGAATCTAAACAATTCAGTTGACAGCTCCATGCTTGTTCAAGGATTAGGGGCGGCCCCAACAAATTTTGTGACCAAACTTTATGGATGACCTTAACTTTTTAATTTTTTATTTATTTATTATTTATTTGTGGTATAAGTCAAGATTAACGCAATATTTTTTTAAATTTCCAACATATAGTAATCTTAGTTTTTACTGCCAAATAAAAAACCAAAAGTATTTTCATAAATTTCGAATTGTTCAAAATCTATTTTAAAGTGAAAAATAGCCTTGTCTATTATCTATAAAAATAATTAACTCTAAAGGACTCTTCGGAAGATTTTGAGATTTCATTATCAACGTTCGCATCAAATTGTTACTTCTTATATATCACACATTTCTTACGTAATTCAAGTTCGATATTCATTTCAAGTGCAATTTCCTTGGTAGAAATCATAGCAGTTGCAAATCCTTCTTCTCTATATTTGTTAAAGAAAGAAATCAAACTTTTTCACTTTACGGAATTCTTTTTAAACATATACATAGTGTATTAGGTGTAATAAAAAATAGGGCCTAAAGCAGTTGCTTTTCTTGCTTTATGAAAGGGTCGTCCGATCCAGCTCTTAGACCTTTGAAACCAGTAGTATGTGCAGGAAAGGAGCAAAGATTAGGAAGAATTGAAGAATTCTAACCAACATGCAAGATCGTGGTCAATGGCCATGTGAGATTTCTGTCTCCAGAGTCCAGCGTATCAATATTTGTGTGCTCTCGTTTCTGGACTTTCTTCTTACCGTGTAACATTTCTTGCAAGCAACTTATTGCTGGTCTTGCAGCTGACATATCGACAAGTGGGGTAGCTTTTGTTCCACCCCCCCCTAGAAGTAGGTTAAACAGCCCAGGCACAAATTTTTTAATGCGTTTGACAAATACCTACTGAATTAGAGTATATACAAATATAGTGAATCTATTCTTATCTTAAAGACCATTAAAGAAAGGATGTTGGAAGGAATTGAATGTGGCGGATTTCATCTCAAATGGTAGATAGAAATTGAATATAAACGGGCCCCCTTAATTTATAAGTGGTCAATTTCTAGATCAAATGGGATTTTGGAGAAACAGATGCTTTCCAGTATTTATTGATGTACCTGCACAAAGATAGAAATCGGTCCCTCCAACCTGCAAAATTAGCACTATGTCCTAATCTTTCTTCTTCCTGTAAGTTACCTCTTTAGACGCAGTAGACCAGGGGTTTACAAAGTAAACCGACAAACCGCACCAACCCGATAATTCGAGTTAAATCGAGAAAAAAAATCCAATTATGGTTTGGTGTTGGAAAAAAACCGACCATAATTGGTTTGATTTGGTTTTAACTAAGGAAAGTCAAACTAAAACCAAACCAACCCGTCATTACATATATGGAAATTTTAGATATATTTAATATATAAATATACTTATTGTGATGTAATTTATAAATATTTCATAAATTTTTTCATAATTTTATCTTTTAAGGTATTATTTCAAGGTTGGACTTAGAACGTTTGAATGTTCCAATAAGTTTTATAGCCATTAATATTAGTAAATTAAATAATGCTAACAAAAGCCCAAACCAAAATCAAATCAATACTAATGCTAATAAAAGACATTCAATTCAATACTACGAACGGGAATACTACGAACGAGAATGTATTGAATATCTATTTTTTGTTTTGTAATACTTTAGATAAAAATGCACAATCTATTTTTATTTTTTCTTTAGCGTTTAGTCATGTAATTAATACTCCCTTATTAGTCTACTTATTTTAGCATGACTTAGTACTTTTAGATTATGCTTATTCTTATTATGGCTTTTTAATTAGCAATATTCATATTACATAATTTTATTGTCTTTATTATAGAATATTTTAGGATAATGCCATGACACGTCTCATATTTCGTATTATTTTCTTGGAAAATACTTTATATAGTTGTATCTTACTAGGATTAAAAAAATATTTTGACCATAATTTATATGTTTTGTTCTACGAAGATTTTATCGAGGAAAAAAATCGAAAAAATTCGAATAACCCGAAAACCCGAGAAAATCCGAAAAAAATCGAGAGTGAAAAATCCGAGTTTTATTGGTTTGGTTTGGTCTTTAAATTTAATAACTCGATACAATTGGTTTGGTTTGGTAATTGTAAAATCCGAACCAATCCGACCTATGTACACCTCTACGGTAGACACACCCAAGAGGTACAATACCAAAAATTTTAATTGGATCATATCAGTTTGTTACTGTAAAGAAAAGGTGTACGTGTATATATGTGCGTGTATGCCTATGGGTGTGTCAAAACGAAGGCAATATGTGTAGGGAGCTAAATGTAACAAAGGGGTTCAATTGAATCCCCGTAGGCTTAAAATTATATTATGCAAGTTGGACAAAAATAAATTTTGTATATATAATTGCTGGATTTTCTTAATATAAGGGAAGTTTTTATCGTAATGAGAGATTTAAAAATTGCTTTGGGGTTCGAATTATGTGACATTTTTACATTTTTTTAGAATCCCTTGTTAGAATTTATGGCTCCGCAATCCGACGTACACGTACCCAATATGATTGAATCCACTCCTTCACATAAGTATTTGATTAAGTGATTTTCATATTATGACAAGGTAGACGTAATTTAGCCGTCTTCCATATAGATTTGGTCGCTAATGAAATTTAGTTCATAGGATGATTTTCCAGTATCTCTTTTTAGTCATAAATATGTTCAAAATTTCTAGTTAATGGGTGCATAAATAGGACTCGTTATTCCATTGTGTCAAATTATGCATGCGAATGTAGTATAAACATTTGTTTAATGTTGTTAGTAACATTAATATAGTTCTGGCTGTTGAAGTTTGGCAAAATGCCAAAGTCCCACATTGGTTGGGAGTTAAGTTTGGAGGGGATTTTTCCCCTATAAAAGAAGGCCTAATGTTTAGGATTGAGACACACCTCTCATTTGCCTTCTCATCTGTTTAAGGCATTTGTATCTTCTCTCTTTAGTATTATTTCACTTGTATTTTGGAGTGGAATAAAATATTTGGTTGTGTCCGAGGAGTAGGCAGAATTAGCCGAACCTCGTAAATTCTGGTGTTCCCTTTATTATTGCTTTATTGTCTTATTTATTATTTGGTGGCTGTCATAATTTTTGGTATAGTAGTTGTGACTTATTCACACTCTATACATTTGGCTTCCGCAACACTGGCTAGAGGTGTACATAGACCGGGTTGGTTCGGATTTTACAATTATCAAATCAAACCAATTGTGTTGGGTTATTAAATCTCAAGACCAAACCAAACCAATAAAACTCGGTTTTTCTATCTCGTTTTTTTCGGGTTTTCTCGGGTTTTTGGGTTATTCGGGGTTTTGATTTTTTTTTTCCGGTAAAATCTTCGTAGAACAAAACATATAACGTATGCTCAAAATATTTCTTTAATCCTAGTAAGATACAAATATATAAAGTATTTTCCAAGAAAATAATACAAAATATGAGATGTGTCATGACATTATCCTAAAATATTCAACAATAAAGATAATAAATTATGTAATATAAATATTACTAATTAAAAAGCCATATTAAAAATAAACATAATCTAAAAGTACTAAGTCATGCTAAAATAAATAAACTAATAAGGGAATATTAATTACATGACTAAACGCTAAAGAAAAATAGAAATAGGTTATGCAAAACTAATAGGTTTTTTATCTAAATTATTGCAAAACAAAAAATAGACATTCAATACATCCCCCTTCGTAATATTGAATTGAATATCTTTTGTTAGCATTAGTATTGATTTGATTTTGGTTTGAGCTTTTGTTAGCATTATTTAATTTATTAATATTAATGGTTATAAAACTTATTGGAGCATTAAAGTTCTAAGTTCAACCTTGAAATAATACCTTAAAATATAAAATTATGAAATTTTTAAGAAATTTTTATAAATTATACCACAATAAATAAGTATATTTATATATTAAATATATCTAAAATTTCTATATATGTAATGTCTGGTTGGTTTGGTTTCGGTTTGACTTTCTTTAGTTAAAACCAAACCAAACCAATTATGGTCGGGTTTTTTTTTTCCAACACCAAACCAAATCAAACCAAACCATAGTCGAGTTTTTTTTTCTTGATTTGACTCAAATTATCGGGTTGGTGCGATTTGTCGGTTTCCTCTGTACACCCTAGTTCTGGCTTTTGGGAGAGTGCAGGTATACAAACTCAACATTCACCACTGGTGATTTTGGGTACTGTTGTAGTCCTCGTAATTAAATTGTTTTTTATGATTTCACTTGGTACGTTTCATTCTTTAAATTTTCTCAAGTGTAGCCTCTCTATATAGATTTTTTTTTTGTTTTGTTTCATTTCATCTTTAAAACAACAAACATTCATTAAAAGTTCTAATTGATGGATGCATTTACATGTTTATGTAGTACTTTATTACCTTCTGTTGTCGTGTCTTTGTACTCTTTTGGTTTGTCCTTCAAATTTTTTCAACAATTAATCTAAATTTCCATATTAAAATATTCCATGTCCACACACAGATGTCACATGCCTCCTAACTCTAGATTGTCAATAACTAACAACTCACTGTATTTAATTTAATTTCTGGACCAAGGACCATGCATTTATTCCACATTGTCTACGTGTTTATTCTCAATTCTAATCCTACTGCATTGATCTCAATTAATATGACACTCTTCTAGTTCGGAATGCCCTCATATTTACATGCTTAATGTACTTATTATTTTTATAAATTTTACAAATTACTAGACTTCAAATTTTTTTAAATTAACAAGTTTAAATTTTGACGCAATTAATTCTACTATTTATAAGATATACAAATCAAATTAATATTTTAAATTCTGTATTCAATCAAATGAAATGGGAAGAGGGCGTAATTGTCTTTTCCCTTTAGATGTACTATGACCAATTAGTTTGTATATTAATGTCACGTTGTGGGATGATTCTACGGCAGAGTTCTTCTTTCCCATTGAATAATATCGCTATCATTAATTAACCCGCAATTAAAGACCATAACTTAGATGCTGATTTATCTAATGAATGTTAGAATATTAAACGTGTTGTGTTGGTTTCATTGCTTGGAAATCTGAATAATGTATCTGAAGAAGTTTCCATAAATTTAGACCTTAGTATACTACAGTATTTATTATGGTTAGTACATTATAGGACACAAAATTACAGAAATGGTGACTTTCCTATTCAAATTGGAAAAAATATATGGAGGGAAGATTTCCTTTCTTAACAAATTTTTTTCCTTCCCAATACCAATAGTTTATACTCCAAACTTTTGATCAATGTATATTTTCAAGATTTCTTTAGTTTGAAGGTCAAAGAAGAAGACAGGAGGAGGAAAAAAAAAATGCCAGCAGTTTGGTTTGCTTTAAAGAGATCATTACAGTGCAAATCAGAGCTAAGAGATGTTCATGATCCAAGAATTGATGGCAAAAATTTAAGCAAAATATCGACGAAAAAGACGGTAAGTAGATCAGGTTGTTCAAGGTCAATAGCAAATCTGAAAGATGTTATACATGGAAGTAAAAGGCATATGGAGAAGCCACCATTACAAAGTCCAAGATCTATTGGAAGCAGTGAGCTTTTGAATCCAATTACACATGAAGTTGTGTTAAGCAATTCAACATGTGAACTCAAGATTACTAGTTGTAATTTCCATGATGGTAATGGGAGTAGTGGAAATAATGTTGAGAGTATTTCTGCTTTTATGGGTACCTTAAAACCAGGGACACCTGGTCCAGGAGGACACCATATTGGATCTTCAAGAAAATATAGAGGTTTTGGTAGCCCTATAAGAAAAGGGTCACCTGGGAATTTATCAAGAAAAGCAGGGTCTGGATTTGGTGGTATTGTTTCTAGGCCTAAGGCTTCTTCTGGTGCAGATTCTCATGGTTTTTCAGCTCTGAATTGTCATAAATGTGGTGAACAATTTGCTAAATTTGAAGCTGTTGAAGCACATCATCTCTCCAAACATGCTGGTATTTATATCTATCTTGCTTATTGTTAATGTTTACCTTTTTACCGGTCCAACTATCTGGTATCTGAATTCCTGCCGGGTAAGTCCACTAGATGGAAAAAGCTTCCAACCAAAAAGTTATCGAACTCGAGATATCTGATTAATGATGGAGAGATCTAAGTTCTCAACTATACCACTGCCTTTGGTGGTATTGCTAATGTTTACCAATTGCCTTTGATGAGTAAATTAATGAGTAATTGTATCTAATCCATTTTCTTGAAGTTGGTTCAAATTTCTGTTTTCAGTGCAGCAATTAAAGAACATTCTTTCTAATACTTCTCTTGAATGATTTCAGTACATATTAATTTTTTGTGAATTTGTTGCCTTAAAGCATATTCTTGTTTGTTTTGCAGTAACTGAACTTATTGAAGGGGATTCCTCAAGGAAAATTGTAGAGATAATATGCAGAACAAGCTGTTCAAAGCCTGAAAACAATTCAAATGGGATAGTGAGAATCTTGAAGGTTCACAATATGCAGAAAGTACTAGCTCAATTCGAGGAGTATCGCGAATTAGTAAAGATCAAAGCCAGCAAACTTGCCAAGAAACATCCTCGTTGCTTAGCCGATGGAAATGAGCTATTAAGATTCTATGGCACAACTGTTGAATGTTCTCTTGGTATGAATGGTTCTTCTAGCCTATGTACATCAGAAAAATGCAAAGTTTGCAGGATTCTAAGACATGGATTCTCAATCAAGAAGGAAATTAATGGTGGGGTTGCAGTTTTTACAGCTTCTACAAGTGGAAGAGCATTAGAGGCAATTGAGGAAAATGATGATAATATATCTTTGAGAAAGGCTCTAATAGTATGCAGAGTGATTGCTGGTAGGGTGCATAGACCTTTGGAAAATGTTCAAGAATTGATTGGTCAATCAGGGTTTGATTCATTGGCTGGAAAAGTAGGACTCTACTCAAATATTGAAGAACTCTATTTGCTCAATTCTAAAGCTTTGCTTCCATGCTTTGTGGTAATCTGCAAATCATAAAAACACAAGGTGATTGAGCCATTCTTTCATGTAATTCAATTGAAGTTCTGAATATTTGTTCATCCATCCAATCATTCCTTTTTTTTGGGGGTAGTTTTTTTCCTCTTTCTATTTCTTATTAGAGAAGCATTCTGTTCTTAACAAGTGTAAATTTATTCTTTTGCAATGAGGTACATGTGATTTTTACTTGCTACTTGCTAGTGAAATGTTCTTAGATCTACTCTATACCGATAAAGACATGTGACCATAACACTTGCATAACTTGTCACCGGTCGCGAGAGATTAGAATTGGAAAAAAAAAAGTGTATAAGAGGTGTTAAGATACGGTATACTTAGAGATGTTCTACATTAATTGTGAATATTACGCAGCATTAATTTTGGATTTACCTTAATTGTAGCATATTTTGTTTCCTTTTATTTCATAAATTTCTGTATAAATACCCGTGTAATCTCTTGTATTTTGATCAAATAAGTTGAGACATTCCTTCTCCCTAAGTTTAAATTCTTAAAGTAGAAGTTCAAACGGTTTAATAATTTTGATTCTAGTTGTTGTATTATTCATATCCACCTTATTCAAATCACCAACTGGACGGTTCCATAATCTCATAAATACAGTATGAAATGGACATATCAAATTTGAATTGGAACGTCAGTAAAAGCCAAAATTTGTTCTTACAAGTTAGTAGAACTTAACCTGCACGATTCAGTAGGATATTAATTCAGGGGAACATACTCATTCATTAACTTTTGTCTTTCTGTATGAATAATGACGCTGGATTTCCTGTTATTTTTTTACAATTAGTACTGTTCTTTGGGTCAAAGTCGAAATACAAATAGATACAGGTAACCTTTGTAATAGTCCTTGGGAAATACAAGAACAGAGTAGTATGCATTTATTTTATGGATTGGACTGCACAAAAATTGGAAATAAATTCTGATACTGACTTGCATTTATCTCCCATAAAAGTTGGTCCTATGGGTCATTTTACTTTGGTAGTAGTCAATTTCAAACAAGAAGGCAGAAACAAACAATCCCAGCACATCAATTCTTGCTAAATTTTGCATGTCAAGAAGCATATGCTGATACGCATTGTTTAAAATTGCATAATTTGGACCTCTATAGCGTAACAGAAATCCTATAATACAAGTGTATTTTTGGGTCTTCATCAACACAACAAATTCTCTGTCTTTGTTTTTCATGTTTTATGTCTTGTTGTCCCCTCCATAATGTGGCTTTCATACTTCTCATTTTCATGTAGCTAAGCTTTTCCTTTCTTTCTTTTATCCTTGAGGAAGGAAAATTTAACCCTACTACAGTCTTATTTATTTTAATTCTTGGGATATTCTCCAAGGATGAAAGAAAAAAAAGATATTCTCCAAGGCACTGCATTGAAATTACAATACACACTTTTTGATAAGAAGGAACACATTTTTGTTTTCCAAAAAACTTGACTTATTTTCTTAAAAATATTTCTATAAAAGATGCTCTCCAATATTTGATCGGAGATTGGAAAATCTCTTTTTTTTAGAAGTTTTATTAAAGATTGATAATAATGTAGCAGATTGGATAGTTATCTAATGAACTTCTTTAGTGCTAAAGATTGATAATCATCTTTAAATGTTTGAGAGGCGGATCTAAGATTTAAGTTTTATGTGTTCAAACTTTAAGGTTTTTAGCATTAAACTCACTGTATTTTTAAAGTTATGTGTTAATATTGTTATATATTATAATATTAGTAAATTTTTACACATAAATTTATGCTCCGCGTTAAAAGTATTAGGTTCAGTTGAATGCGGTGCAAGAGGCGGAGCCAGAATTTAAACCCTATGAGCTCAACTTTTAAAACTCTAGCATTGAACCCTTATACTTTTAAAATTTATGGGTTCATATCTACTATTTTTGCAATTTCAATAAATTTTTACATATAAATTTTTAGTCCGCATCAAATATTATAGGTTCAATTGAACCCATCGGTAATGCATTACATTTGACACTACCGGGTATCGATTTATTGCATCCGCCTCTGGTTGTGAAGGAAAATGATTTCTTCCCAAAAGTAAAATGAGTTATTTTTCGAGAAATTTTCAAAAACCACTATTGTTTATTGGCTATTTACTTTCTATAGCTACCACATATATAATTACTTTATATAGTTACTATTTATTTGTTACGCGACTGTACTCATGAATACAGTAGTGGAATTCGCCTAAAAATAGGGGAATCCAGATGTGCGACTGTATTCGCTGTATTCTCGCTACTGCATTCACGAATACAATAGCGAAATTCGCCTAAAATTCAAATAACAAAAAAATCAAGAAATAGGGTGTATACCGTTATATTCAATTCAACTGTATATATTGTATTCAATTAATAGATATTCATTATTCACTATTATACATTGTATTCAATTCAACTGTATTCAAACAACAAAAAATCACAAAATATAGTAATATTCGGCTGTATTCAAAAAATACAAACCTTCAGAATATGTAAATACAAGCGAAATATTGTATTTATACAAAATATAATGTATTTGAGTGTATTTGCACACAATACAATATATTTGTATCACTATATGTGCCTAAATAGCAAAGAAGAGAAGAAGGTTCGTCGGAGATGACGCTTTTCGTCCAAGCAAAATAATATATACATTGTATCAACTAAAAATAATCTGGCCCTCAAATCTTCTCTGGCGTAGCCATAGCCAGATCTAGAATTTTTGGCGGCGATAGAAAACAATATTTAGTTCCAGAGGTTGATTTGGAGGGACAATCAAATTGTTGTTTTTCAGCAGCTATGAGTTCTGCCCACAAATCAACTGCGTTTCAAATTCCACCATGTTAGTACTATCCTAAGCATCTGAATCGAGATGGAAAATTAATCGGAGGCTGGAAAAGTTTTTACCCACTCGAGAAGTCATGGTTTTGCTCGAAGAGAGATAGAAGGAAGAGAGAGGAAGAACTCAAGTGGCGTATTTCATGCCTCAATAGTAAATAAATACCTATTTTGCTATAAAATAAAAAAGATAGCTATAAGTAATAATTATTTAAAATTATTTTGGTTCATAATAAATACAGTGTAATAATTTGATATATGAGGTAAAATTTCCTTACTTTTCCTCTTTAGTAGAAAATAATTCCACTGGAAGATATTCTCTATTAATCAAACACAAAATAATAATTTATCTTTTTGAAAAATATTTTCCATCTTACCAAACACATTAATGATATGTTTGTGTCTTCTACATTTTACTACATACCCTTTCGGAGAATGAACCTCGTTAAATAACACAGGTAATAAGGAAAACTAACAAAAACAAAAAGAATGTAGGGCAAATTCCTATGGGAAGATTTTGTAAAACGATTATTTTCCTATGGGAAGAAAAAATGGTTAGAGAAAAAATATTAAACGCCGAAAGATACGTTTTAATATGATTGGGAGAAGAGTACCTTCACATTAGTTCAATTGAAATAAACTAGTTTGGAAATAATCAAAAAAAATCCTATGTTTAATTTCCCCTTGCTAAGTGGTGCCCACTCGCCAACCCCTTAATAATAGAATTATTTTTACAAATGTGTTATGAAACAATAAAAGAAAAAGAAAAGTATTGCAGAGAAAACAGAGAGGGATGATTCTTATTGATTTGAGGTCAATTATAATGGAATATGACTCTTCTATTTATAGGGAAAGAGCGATTTAGGCACCAAGTAAAATCCCTACAATCTCTCTAAACTATAGACATTCACCTTAAATAAAACTCTATTTATAACACTCCCCCTTGAATATCTATTCAACAGATAATGTGCCTCGTTAAAACCTTAACTAAAATAAAATCCAGTGGGAAAAAAATTCTAGTAAAGGAAAAAGAGTACACATATTTAACAATACGCTTTTTGGTTGCCTTGTTAAAAATCTTGCAAGGAAAACCCAGTGGGACAAAACCTTGTTAGGGAAAAAGAGTACAATACGTATTAAGTCCCCCCTGATGAGAGCATCAATTCACATCTTTGAGCCTTCACATTCCAATGATGTGCATCATCTTCAAAAGATCGTTGGTAGAGATTTGATAAATAAATCAGCCATATTAACTTGAATAAATATGTTGCACCTTGAAATCACCATTCTTGATAGATATGTAATATCTTCATAAAATGTTGTGGAATGGCCTCTTCAATATCTCCATAGAGATTCCCGCAATCATATTATCATGCTTATAGTTATTGCAAAATACATATGTGCACAAATTGCACTTAGGATGTAGTACTTCATGACCAAGAATTCTACATGCTTTAAGCGATTTGAATCCTTCAGGGATTGTCATATAAGTTAAATCGTATAAGCCATTTAAAAAGATTTTAGATGCATATCAAGTTTTCATGTCATGATAGACAAATAAGATAGATAAAGGTGATATCACACACTATTGACTTTATACTTTCAAGTGTTTGAACCACATGTCCAAAACTACATATCTTTCATATGAAACCAATTCTACTTGAATTGTATCACTTCCATTTGGCCAATATTTGTGTCTGTATTCGACAAACTTAAGATCCTCCTCTATACTTAACTCTATGATAGATGTCGTCGACAAACATTTTATATCTGTTCCAACCTCCTTATTTTCATATAGACATAACATAGAGATCTCTCCATTCATATATTCAGGCACCTGAATCTCTCATGAGATTTTATGAAGTGTTATGTCATGTGATCTTCTATATCACTTGCCTCCTTATTATGATCATTTTGATCATTTGCTCATCTTCTTTATCAAGAAGTTTATTTGAAACCGATTTGTCTATGCACTTTAAACGTACCATAGACTTTGTCCTTCTAGGACTTATTTTAATAGGAGCATTTACAGTGAGAATATAGTTACTTTCTTTGGGTCAGCAAATGCGTTTGGCATACTTTGAAATATATTACAGATGAATTATCTTTTTATGAACTTCAAGTTCATATTATTTTATTCGAGGATCTAGATGTACACATGATAATTCATTCCACATAACTTTTTGTTGACTGTTTATTATGTTCTCCCCTCATGTTAGAAAAACTAACTTTTTTTCTCAACTTTGAGAACCCATCTTTGTGCANATATATATAATTTTGTTCTTATAAGCAATAGTTTAGCTATTAAGTGGAGGCACTCAATAAATCATTTTGCTAAATCAACGGTGATATAAACC